TGAGAATGGGGCTTATGTGGCTATCTGAACACACACACACACACACACACACACTCCAGGCAGAGAGAAGAGTCAGTGCCAAAGCCCTGTGATGGAAGCATGTCTGAGTGTTGCTGAAATAGCAAAGAGGCTAGTGTGGTTGGCAGAGCAAGATCAGGAGAAAGAATAGTAAGAGATGGTTTCTGAGAGTATCAGAGAGCCCACTCATGTAGAACCTGAGAGCTCATGTAAAGACCTTGGCTTCTAAATAAGATGGGACGTACTTGGAAATTTTGTGCAGAAGAATGACATGATTTGTCTTGACTTATATTTTAAAACAGTTTTAAGAATAGATTATAAGGGGGAGAAAGCAGAAGCAGGGAGATTAATTAGAAAACTATGACTGTTGCACAGACTGAGAGGTTGGATTCCTGGTCAGGGCACATGCCCGGGTTGTGGGCTCAATCCCCAGTAGAGGGCATGTAGAAGGCAGCTGATTGATGTTTCTCTCTTACATCAACGTTTCCATCTCTCACTTCCTCTCTCTCTAAAAAAAAAAAAAAAAAAATCAGTAAAAAACATACTATAAGAAAAGAAAGCTATGGCAACAATCTAGGAGAAAAATATGATGGTTTAGGTCAAATGGCAGGATTGGGAGTAGGAGGTGGAGTTTGAGTGTTTTGGTAGAGTGATAGAGCAAACAGGATACTGACACATAAGATGTGGGATGAAGCACAGGATGAACAAGGGGACAGAGAGGGCACTGGGCGGGAAGCCTGAAATTCCGAGTTGGAATTTCAACCCCATCTCACATTCACAGTGTTACCTCAGAAAGGTCACCGAAAAGCCTCCTTCTTCATACCTACAAAAACTGGCTTAAGTACCTCCCCCACCTCACAAGGCTCAAATGAATATGTCTGTACAAAAGGTAGCTTGCTTAGAATGGAGCGATAGCTCTGTGAGACCTTGTACAAGTTTGTTAATTAGCCTGAGCAACTGCAACAGGGAGACTGAGGTTGAATCTGGAATGTGCTGAGAAACAACATTACAGTTGTGAGGAATTCATTTGGGAAGCTTTATTTATTATTTATTTATTTATTTATTTTAAATCCTGACCTGAGAATATCTTTCTATTTATCTTCAGATAGAGTGGGGAGCGGGGAGAGAAACATCGATGTGAGAGAAACACATCTAGTTGATGATTAATAAATTCCTACCCTCTCTACTCTTCGAAATCCTTGCTTTCAGTTTGATTTTATTTCAGCCCAAAAGGCTCCACCCCACCCCTAGTTTTCTTTTCTTTGTCTTTGAGTAGGTTTACCACCACCCTGGAATTTTAGTAAATTTTTACTAACATGAGAACTATATGATTCAGTTATCCTAAGTGACTCAAATGCTCACAACTTTCCTAATCTGGCTTAAATATGCAAAGCTGAATCTGCTTCTTCCCAATTCAGAAATTTAGAAAAATCACTACAAGATGAGTAGGAAGGAGGTTCTGAGCCTGCCACGGTGGAGAGAGAAGGGGTCACAGGGCAAGGCTGGTGCTCCCCAAAAGTGGGATCTTCCAGCTCTGAATCACCCCTTCCTCCTCCTCGCTCTATTCTCTATGACCCTCCCAAGTCTTGTCCATCACAACCACCTATTCTAAGTTCAAATCTCTCAGTAAAGAGCCTTCAAGGTAACTGATAATCCATTTAATAAGCCAATTTAAGTCAGATTATTAGTGATTGAAGAAGGATTAGTTTTATGGCTCTCAACACTTTAAGAGGAAATCTCAGGAAGGTCCTCTGCCCATTTTTTAATGGACTTGTTTGTCTTCCTTTTGTTGAGCTGTCTGAGTACTTTATATATTGAGGATATTAAGCCCTTATCCGATATATCATTGGCAAATATGTTCTCCCGGGGGGTGGGGGTGGGAAGAGATAAACCAAAGAACTTATATGCATATATACATAACCCATGGACACAGACAATAGTGTGAGGAAGGCAGGAGTAGGAGGAGGGGTTAATGGAGTGGGGAGGAAGGTCATCTGTAATACTTTCAACAATAAAAATTTTTAAAATTTTCAATATGGGAAAGAAGAAAAGTTAAGAAATGGGAGTGCAAAAGGATACAAAAGAACAAATTAAAAAGTTCTATGAGAGAAGGCAGCTAAAAGGCAGTTCTCAAAAAATAAGAAAAGTAATGACGGAATGCTTAGGTGCTGGGAAGGTAGGTAGCTGTTTGGTAAAGAGCTCTTCTTTTGAGAGACTCAGGAAATCTTCTCATAAGGTGGTCTCCTTCTTTCCAATTCTTTGCCTATGCTTGAAGTGAGCAGTCTTCTGTATTTTTATTTTTTTGATAAATGACTAGGTCTTTATTAAGCAGTAGAAACTGGGAGGGAGTGAGACCTGCCAGTCTGAGCTGACCTGGGTAGAGGTTTCAGGGGAACAGTGGGGAGCTGGAGAACAGTTGGGCTGAGGAGGGCTGAGGAGGGCCCCGGAGGGTGGAGGATTCGGGATCCTAAGAACACTGCCAGGACCACTGCCTTCTCTGTGGTGCACCTGTCGTGTGTGACCTGGCAGCTATAGCTGAGGCCAAATTTCCACTTGTTGGATGTCGGGCTCAGGTAGCTGCTGGCCCAGTACTTGTTGCAGCTCAGTTTCAAGGGCTCGGTGGTCTCCACACTCTGGGTGATGGGGCTGCGATTTGCTTTCCAGGACACCATCATGCTGCCAGGGTAGAAGTCACTGATGAGACATACCAGTGTAGCTTTGTTACTGCTGAGCCCCTCAGGGGAGGGTGGAACAGAGTGGCCAAGGGTGCAGACTTGGGCTGACCAAGGATGAGGAACCAAAGACATACCACCAGAGACAAACCATGGTGACTGAGGTTCTGACTGAAGCCTACCAGGACAGCACCGGGGCCTGTCCCTCAGGGGCCAGTTTGGAACAGAGACCTGTTGTCCCTCAGGCTCCGAGGGCTGCTTCCTGCTGAGTCTCAGGGGCCTGGGGCCCCACTTTGTGGTACTGCGTCAGGGAAGCCGGCCATGCCCAGCAGCATCAGGGGCCAGAGCTTCTTGGGGCCAGGGCTGTCCTCTCCAGAGTCCACATGACCCCCTTGCCCTGTCCTGGGCCTCATCTGTGTTCAGGGTCAACGGCACCTCTGGCCTGACTTTCAGCATAAACTCCCTGGAGGTTGTGAATGCTGCTGGCAGGTTCCCCTAGTCCTCACTAGCAGTGGCTGACCTGAATAGCCCTGCCTCCTGTCGGGGCCCTCTCTGGTGCCTACCCCTAGTGCCTGGTCCTCTCTGGGGTTGTTACCCCTGGGGATCTTTCTTAGAATGTCATCTGCCAACTGCCCTGCTGTGGTTGGGATCCAGAGCTCAACCACCGCCCACCGTAACCCCTACTGGCCCTACCCCTGGGACACTGGCTGGAGCACACCTGTTCCTGCCCCCTTTTCCCAGTTCCCCAAGGGGGCCTCTGGTCTACAGAGCCTGAGGGGCCGTGGAGGGCAACTGAGTGTCCAGTGGATGAGAAACGTAGTTCCTTGGGGTGGGCTTGGGGCTTTCTTCTAACCAGGCCCCCAGGCTGGACCCCTGCATACTCCACTCCTGCCAGTCAAGCCCAGCCCTTCCCTGGCTGGTTTGGTCAAGCCTGGTAGGTTTGGTCAGCTCCTCACTTGGTTTCTCAGCTATACAAGTGTTCCGCAGGGAGTGGCCTATACCCCTTACCGAAGGAGTAACATCAAGCTCATGAATGTTGAAACCATCCAGACCTAGGTTTCCTCTGGGCCTCAGTTTTCTTAGCTGCAAAATGGGGAGAGTTCCTTTGCAGCAGGGAGGGCCTGAGGATGAATGAGATCATGTGTCTGCTAGGCGCCAGCACATAGCAGGTGATGAAACAAATGTTGGTACCCTGTCCACCTCCTCTTACTTTGGGCTTTGGAGCAACTCGGTGTGAGCGTGAGCCAAGTGTCCCTGTTTCACAGATCAGAAAACTAAAACCCAGAGAAGATGAATGAAGGACCCAAGGTAGTTTCATGGTACAGGTGACTGAGTGTGCCCCCTGCATTTCCAGCCCTCTGCCCACCTGGAAGGCTTCTGCTTTGCTCCCAAGGGAGCTAAGGTTTGGGCTCTGTTGGGCAGCGGTGCAGGGGGGTGGGCTGCACAGGTACGTTGGGTTGAAGTCTATTTTAAAGCCCATATAGTACATAATATGACAAGAGAGTCATGAGAAGGCTTCAGTGTTGTCCCTGAGACCATTTCAGGAGGTCCATAAAGTCAAAAGTACTGTCATAATCACACCAATACATTTGCCTTTTTCACTCTCATTCTCTCACGTGTGTTGTGGACTTTCCAGAATCTACATGATGATGTTGACATCACTCTGACAGCTAATAGAAGCTGGGCTTGTGCATTTTTGTTTTTAAAATTTATCAGTTTTCATTTCAGATATGGCAAATATCAACAGACACAATTCACTTTACCAAAAAAACTATCGGGGAGTCTTCAATAACATTTTTAAATGTGTAAAGGAATCTTGAGACCTAAATATTAGAGAACTGCCGCTTTGAGTTATCCGGCCTGCTCTGGCAGCGGAGATGCCAGAAGTATTGCAAAACCAGAAACAGGGTGGTAATTCCTCCTAAATTCAAAACTGTGAAGTAACCAGCTAATAAAAGTTGGTATTTATAAGTGAAACCAAGAATACACATAAAAGGAGCTGCTCTAAAATTGACTGGGTCACTTGTAAAGGACACAGCCACCAACCTGAAGGCAGGTACTTCCACTGACCAGACCAGGGACATCTAATTTGTGACTTTGTAATTAATCAGAGATGTCCATGGCATCTTTAAAGGGTGAGAGATTTTTCCACACACAGAGGAAAAAGGCAAGGATTACCATTAATCATTCACATTCCCCACATTTCTCAAGAGAATATCATAAACCAGATACTTAGATTTGACACTTTTAATTCTTCAGTATCTTATACAAACGTAAGAAATAATACATAATTAAATAACATCTAAAAAGTTTACTAAATATATAAATATCCACTTCAACAGAGAATACCTACATTTTAGATTCTAGACCACTGGATAGAGACAAGAAAGCAAAAGATACTGAAAAAGTCACTAATTTGGTCTATGACTAGTAAAGAGTTCAAAAATTGTTCCACTAGTTAAAACAATATATTTAGAACAAAGGGAACTGTATGCTCACACATGCTTTCTCTGCTACTGTGAAAAGTAAACTCATGGAAAAAGAAGGCAGGAGAGACAAAGTATTTGAACTGGCCGACTGCTACTTAGGAAACCTCCTAACTGCCTGGTTTCATAATATATTTTCTTTATACTAGTCTGAATTCAGAATAAATAAAATACGGTTGGGTCCTATTATGAGACAAATGGATAAGGAATGCATGCTTTTTAAAAAATGTGAGCAGCTAAGACTAACAATGTTTATTCTGCTATAAAAATAGGTAAATAAGTTAAGTTGGCCATGTTGTTTCACAATAAACTCAGTCCCGTTCTCATTGTGATAAATGTCACAGAAACACATGAAGACTAGCAGTGAAACCAAGGGTTCTAGAGAGACCAGCTATTAGCAAAGCGGTAAGCAGGTAGTGGACTAGATACCAAGTGAGGGAACAGACTCATGGACCTAAGAACAAGGGAAGAAGAGATGGAATAGCCACAGTAAAGCAAAAGGTAATCTCAGAAAAGTTCTTTGGTCCTTAACCTTTCCAACTTCTGTTTTACTCTCTTTTTTTCATGTTCATTCCCTTTGTTCATTCCCCTTTTCCTGGAATTACATCAGTTTTTAGAGCAGAATAGCAAATTATCTGGTCCAACTCCTTACTTTTCGGGATGCTGTCGTAGAAGTTCACTGAATAGCGATTAACATAGAGTTGCCACTAGTCCCAGCCAAAGTCAGTCTCAAACTGTGGCTCCCAATGCTAAGACCAGTATCCATTCAACAGCACAACACTGCATTGCTTTACAAATTCAATTCCTACAAGAGACCTGAGAGGTAAAATGACTTCCTCTTGGAACTCACACAAGCACTGGGTAGCTTAGATGGCAGTAGAGAGTCTTGAAATTCTTAGGCCTTTTACTTCCACCTCTTTTGTTCTCATAGGTCCCTGGAGAATGACCCTTTTTCTCCTGCTTTCCTCCTGCATTAGATTCAAGTAGACCAGAGAATAATTTTCAGGGTTCTGTGACTCTTCTAGGGCTCTGGATAAAAGAAAGATCAAAATATTAACTTTGCACATTTATCATTTCTATCTTAATAGATTTTAAGAAGGTCAACAACAGAAGGGTCAATAAACAGAATTCTCCTTGTGCAAATTTTATCAGCAAAGGTAAGGAATTAGATTTTTTTTTTTTAATCAATGTGAGGTGAGGGGAATGTGATTCTCTTTAAAAGGAGATAAAGGTAGTTCTAGGAAACAAAGCTTTGCAGAATCACTTAAGACTACAAGTAAAAGAGCATGTTCAAGAATTCCAAACGATCTATGTGTATTTTATCTATAAGACCTTGAGCTTTGTTTTCTGTGGATACTAACTTGCTGGACATCAAGTTAAGAATGGTCACAAAGTAGACAAATGGAGAACTGTTAAGGCTTGCTTGCACAGAAACCAAGAGAACCTGGGCCTCCCTATAAAGCATGAAGACAATGAAGTAAAAGACCTGGAATTTTATCTTGCACCATCTCTCACTCTGTAATCTATTTCTTACCAAACCTTGCAAAGTTCTGCATATTTGAACTTTGCTAGTATTTCCAATGTGAGCTGTCAGTGACAAAAGACACAGAACAGCTCAGGCAAGAATGCTCAGGCTTAAGGGTCTATTAGCCAGTAACTTTGTGACCAGATTATATCATGAAATTTTTTATATGATGGGTGGCCTTTTGCACCCATTTAAGGGTAAGCTTTTTTATAGAAAAATAGCCTTGGAATGCAAGATGTAATCCAGCAATTCTGACCTATGAGTTTAGTCAGGCTTGCTTAACATGTTTCTTACAAAAGCATTACATTTCTTCTTTTTAGAACTATTGAGAAAATTGGGGTAGGGATGAGGATTACCACTCATCCAGCCTTCATCTGGAAAGCATAAACACAATTCTTTAGCAAAGCACAGATTCTTATTTTTTTTTAAATAAATATTCTTTGTATTGTTCTTCCAATTAATCACCAATTTCACCATTACAAATTGTTTATTAATCAAATTGTTATTTGACATGGTATTAAGCTTGAAATAGGAGGAAGTAACATGATCCTACTCTGGATGTAGTGTTTTACTAACAATGCCATTGTCACCCCTACAGAGACCCCACTTATAGGTTAGGTCATTGTGAAGGCAAGTGAAAGAAATCAAGGTGATTATATAGATAATGTGGGTAAAATCAAAACACTTCTGTATGAAATAGCTATATTCTTGATGAAAAAGTGAAGTTTGGAACATGGATTTCATGTGATTGTCTAAATTTTCTATTGTTTTCCAGTTCAGCATTGACTCAATAAAACCAAAGAAAACTACTACTCAAAACAAAGATTTCTAAAAATAAGGTGATTGTACAGAATAGTCATGGAGATGTAAAGTATAGCATAGGGAATATAATCAATTCTATAATAACTATGTATTGTGTCAGATGGGTACTAGTTGGGTGATTATGTTGTAAAGTATATAAATGTCTCATCACTGGGTTATATACCTGAAAGTAATATAATATTGTACATCAGCTATAATTGAAAAATAAAAACTATTAAAAATAAAAATAAGGTGATTGCCTATGATGATCTGACAAACTGTCTATTTATGACATCAACTGGGTTTTAATAGAAATAACTATTGTAGAAGGGTGGAAAATTTCCTTGGGAAATTTAAGGTTTTTTTTCTCACTTTCTATTTCAGTAATAAAGGACTTGATTCATAAAAGAGAAAAAGAGTTCTTTGAAAACCTATTAACCTATTATCTTATTGTCGCAGTCTCATGGGAAGTAACTGCACTGATCCCATCAGGAATGGCGCAAAGAGAAATAGCCTCTAACTCATCACACCTTCCTTCGGAATGCAGCTTTACTGTTGAAAAAACAAAAACAAAAAACAAAATCATACTCTCTGGCATTATAGAGAACCACAAAAAAAGTAAAGGGAGTCTAACTTCTCCATAAAGATAACAGCAGTTTTTAGAGATTGCCCCCGTGTCCAAACCTATAAATTTGCTTATGCCTTTGTAAGCAGTCAATCAGTGATTCTGCTCTAAAATAGACTTTATCTAACAAAGAGTTGGACCTTACTTCATAGATTTTCCTCACCTACCAGATTTGTCTTCCTGCTGAACAGCTCCATGGAAACTATTTTTCTATTCTTTGTCTACTCACATTTAATAAGTTTAAAAACTAATTCATCCCTCTTCTCCTCTCCACAAACTGAACAGACACACACACACACACTCAGTTTTCCCCTCTGTTTCAGTTTATATCACCATTTTTCAGGTGAAGTCAAGAATCTTGGTGATATTTTCTCTGCCCACACAAAAGTTTTCAGTTTTAAGGAGATGATGGGTGAAAAAAATAACCAAAAGTAAAAGATGGAAAGGTAGAAAGTAAAGGTGGTAGGACTATTCACTTTGATCACAAATTGATAGAATTTGTTACCTGAAGATAAAAAAAATATATATTTTCTTCCCCTTCTTCTAACTTTGGGCAACTTAAATTTTGGTCTTAAACCAGTATTTCCTTAGCCTTGAACATTTAAGTCTCCAGTGTAATCAATACTTGGGTTTACTAGCTATTTAAATATATGGGATCAAGGGATCTGGCTGCCAAAATTTTTGAAACCACACCAAAAAAAATCCAGTCACTCAAAATATGCCACTGAACATTCAGTGTAATTGACTGATTGTCCTTATGACGACATCGTCAGCAAATGGCAGTCCTAGTGCTTACAAGATTCAATGCAATTCCGGTTGTTTATAGTAGTCCCTTTTATTCACAGTTTTGCTTTCCACTGTTTCAGTTACCTGCAGTCACCTGTGCTCTAAAATAGAACATAGACAACTGCAGAAGTGAACAATTCATAAGTTTTAAAATGAAGTATATTGGGGTGACATTGGTTAATAAAATTATATAGGTTTTGAGTGTACAATTCTATGATACATCTTCTCTATATTGCATTGAGTGTTCACCATTCAAAGTCAAATCTCTTCCCATCACCATATATTTGATCCCCTTTACCCTTCACTGCCTAAACTTTGCATTGTTTCCAGTAGTGCAATGAAATCTTGCACTCCATCCCAACTGGATGTGAAATATCCCTTTGGCCAGTATATCAGCACTGTGTATACTCCCTGCCCATCAGTCACTTAGTAGCCATCTAGGTTATCAGATCAATTGCAGCAGTAGGTATCAGTTGTGCTTGTGTTCATGTAACCCTTATTTCACTTAATAATGTCACATCACATAACTTCATTATAGTACACTTTTTAGGAGGCAGTTTGTTTTGTTATCTTTGTTCTATTTTATTAGATATTGTTGTTCATCTCTTACTGTGCCTACCTTAAGTATACTTTATCATAGGTAAGTATGTATAAGAAAAAACATAGTGTTTACAAAATTTGGTACTATGCACAGTTTCTGGCATCCATGAAGGCCTTGGAATGTATCTTCCATGGATAAGGGGGAACTACTGTATTTCATAAATGAGAAAAAGCCTGGCTACAGAGATAAGTTGACTCTTTTTGTTTTAGGAACTGAATAAGGTATTGAACAATTATATTTCCCAGAAAATTCAAAACTTACTTAATAAACAGAGGACAATTCTTTCACAAATGCCCCTTGCTAGTGGAATTCACCCTGGGCTTGAATAGATATTATGATTCTTGTCCAAAAGGGACTTTCAAAAATGAATTTGAACACTCTACACTTTTCTACTTAAACTTTCCAAAAGAATACAGCGGTGACAGCAAGCACAGAGTAAAATAAGTGTGACTGATAACAATCATGCCTTTCAAGTCAGGACTCTAGGGCACCATGACCGAAGGACATTCTGGTAAAGGTTAGGGGGCCAGGGAGTCCTGAGCTGCTGTTAACTAGCTGTGTGACCTTAGGGAACAAAATCAACTTTCCTCTCCTGGGCTTCAGTTCGTAATTGGAAAAGTAAAATGTTTGGATAAAGTAGAATAAGCCTTCTTTTGACATTTGGCAAACTGCTAATGAGGTCCATGGGCAGCTGATCTGCCGTCTCCATTCCTGGACAGACAAATACCTTGATCTATTTCTGCGAAGGGGTGATTGGCATGGAGTTTTTGCTTTTCTCATAAAACCATAAGAATTAATCTGGTATTTATAAAAGTCGTATGCAAAATTAAGTGTTCAAAAAACCTAGAACCGCCCTGGCCGGTTTAGCTCAGCGGTTAGAGCGTCGGCCTGCGGTACAGAGAGACCCGGGTTCGGTTCCCGCTAGGGGCGCGTACCTCGGTTGCAGTTTGTCCCCGGCCCTGGTTGGTCGTGCGGGTGGCAGCCACTCGATGTGTCCCTTCACATCGATGTTTCTCTCTCTCTCTCTTCCTCTCTCTCCCTCCCGCTCTGTCTGAACAAAAAATGGAAAAATGTCCTCGGGTGAGGATAAAAAAAAAAAAAAAAAACCTAAAACATGAAAGGTATTAGTCTATGAGACATAAAATGAAAAGAAAAAAGTGAGGGTGTTAACAGACATTAAAAATAATACTCAGAGCCAACATGTTTTTTTCTTCTCTTTCTTTCAGTCATCTGAGATGAAGAAAACTCCCATGTCACCACTTCACCCTAGGAAATCCCCATCACACTCAACATAAATAGCAGCTTTGCATTGACGCTAATAAATTATGCCTGTCTTCAGAAACCAAAGAAACTGAATTCTCTTTCTCTAGCTGACTTCTCTTGTTCTATAACATCTCTAGTTTTATACTGTCTCACAATGTTTTAGGCTTAGCATTTATGAGGTACTAAATTTACAATAAGAAAAAGGAAATTTTAAAAAGTCTGTTTGAAAATATACCTATCTACTCATTCATTATTTTAATGAACGTTTATTGAGCACCTGGCGTACATGAGACACTGTAACAGATGCTGGTGGGAATGGAGAGAGATGTACAGTTTATAAGGGCAGAATGACACGACACAGTTATTATAAGTATGGATCACCTCTCTGTTGCCTATAATGTTTGAGACCTAGTGAGAGTATAACACAGAAAGAACCACTTAATAATTGATCACTTAGGACAATTTCAAAGTCTCTTAAATGGAATAGCTTGCCTGTGGAAGGCTATCAAAAGAGAATAGACTGTTCCTCTCACTGATGAGTAGAAAGAACACAACATGGGTGCCAAGCTTTCTTCTCTGGCTTTGTCATCAGATGATTTCATAGCCATCAGAGAAACATTTTCCACATTTCCTCTCATCAGCCCTCAATTTACAAAATAACTAGCCTTTAAATAATCTCAGACAATCAAAAGAAACATTCGGTTTAATGTCCAATTGCAAGAAAATGATACTGAAGAATTGTTTGAAAATACCTTTAACATGTATGTACTTTGGAAACGAACAAAACACACTGTTGCCATCCCCTTATTTACATCTTCATGAGACTCCAAACTATCATTCAGAAATCACATCTCCTTCTCTGTACTTTTAGTGATAACTCACCTCTGTCTTGGGTTCGGTGACGTTTCCAGTATAGTAAGATTGAGATTAAGATCAGAAGAATTACCAGGGAAACAATACTTAAGAGCAGTGGGACTGAAAACCAAAAGCCTATAGATATTGAAGGAAAAAAGAGGAAAATCAAAGTCATAAAAGGAAGCTGTTGAAAAAAAAGATACAGCAATAGTTGTGGCGAGTTTTTATTAGCATTAAGCTTTCAGTGAATATGATTCTTAAATATATACATATTGATGTCTGCATTTATGACATTGTTTTAAAAACATTTAGATAATAATAATAGATAACATGTTTTACGTAGTTAATATGTAATAAGAGCTTTGAATATGTTATCTCATTTAATCCTCAAAACAGCACTAGTTAAGTATTATTATTATTATTATTATTATCTAATATGAAAACACAACAACTCTAATATGAGGCTCAAAAAAAGTTAAGTAAACCCCAAATCAGCATAGTAAGTGGCAGAACCAATGCCTGTTCAGAGGTCTGTTTGCCTCCATGGTACATATTCTTTGCTATACTGTTCGTTAAAGTAATACGTTTATTGAGGAAATTTTGGAAAATACAGAGAAATATAAAGGGAAAAATCATTATAAATGATATGTTACTTTTGGTATTCTTGGAAAAGGAGACATGTTCCTTTTCAGGTTCTTGTTTTTCAGGAAAATTTATTCTTTTGTCTTGGTTGAATCTGAGGTTCATTAAAAAAATGTCTAAATCTAACACTGCAAGCCTTTTGACGAAACTGACCTAAATGCTGACTTTTTGGTTAGTCTATGTTTTCAAAGATCCAGAAATGACTACAGAAAATATTCCTTACAGGCCACTCATCAGTGAGGCAAACGTGGGAAATCTTTTCCAGGTTTCCCACGGCCATCTCTGCCCGATGGCTTATTGTCCAAAATGTCATCCCCAAAAGAAGAAAAGCAGCAGTCTCTTTCTAGAAGGCATATCCAGACTTAGTGCTTCAAAACCACAGGGAAAAAAAAGTGGCTGTTATCACTCCTCCCTTTATTCTCTCTCCCATAACCCTTACCACCTGTACCCATGAGGCCTGGGCGTACCAGCTTAGTTAAAAACACGAGAGAGCAAAAGGGGCCTTGAACAGGAGGCAGTTTGTTTTAAAAGGGAGCGAGGAAAATATCTTAGATCGGACTCTTTCCCACAGTGCAGATTCTGCAAAGGTTTGAGCATAGATGTTTTCTTCCAGGAAATCTTTCTAATCTCCCCGGATTGAATTGATGCCCCTCCTTCCCACCTGCAATCCTCCCATGGTGCACCGTGGCTTTCTTATGGATGCATTTCACATGCTTCCTCTAAGAACAAGTGGCCAAGTGGTTCTATAGAGCATTCACCACCTTCCAGGTGTGTGCACATAGGTATGACCGCGGCCACCTTTGCCCATCTCTTACCTTTGTTCACAGTTTGCCTGAAATTGGACACAGTCCCCAGGTGCAGCACCTGGCAGATCACCTCCTTCCCCACCTGACTCTTAGGGTCTTTGACGTGGAGGACACTGGTGACAGACGTGGTCCCATTAGGATGTATGGTAATCTCAGTACTGTTGTCCATTCCTGACCCAGAGACTTTCCAGGAGATCACAGGGGCTGGGCGGGCATTGGCAGAGCAAGTGATATTTAGGTGGTCTTCAAATAATTTATAGTGAAGGAATACTGTGGGCTGTACTGGGACAAAAAGAAAACAATAATTGTCTGCCATCAGTTTCGCACTCTCCTCAGAGAGATGACAGAATGATTTTTATAGTACGACAGTGAGGGCTAGAAATATAAGGTAGCACATCCAATCCCAGCTGAGGCCTTCTCAGTTCTTCCTGGGTCTAATTCTCTGACCTGCAGGTTGGAGACTGGTCTAGTACAGCCCTGTGACAAGAAAGATTCTCTCTGTAGTTTGTCTCTAGGTGAAGTAGCTGAATGGACAGAAGATATTTTCTCTCTCGAATAGCTCAGAGCCTAATTATTCTTTTTTCCTTTTTCATGAGCAATGCAGCATCTCTGCCTTTTTGCAGGTATTACTCACAAATAGTTTGACAATGAGCACCTCCATACAAGTGGCCTGCACATCTCAGAAGCACTAGGACAATTTCAGAGCAGAGAACCCGGAGAGGGACAGCTGCTTAGTGACCGCAGTTTCCTGCTTGGAGCTGAACCAGTAAATGAGTTGCGTGGATGAAACTTGGAAAGTCCTTGTTGGAAATATCTACACAAAACAAAATTTATGAATTCATAGCCAATAACCAGAAAATCACAGAATGACAGTTGAAGGACCTTGGAGATCACCTTATAGAGTTAAGAAGAAATAACTAGCTTATGAAAAAAGGACCTTATTTTCAAGCCAGCTTTATCCTGTTCCCTTTTTACAAGTCCCTTGACTGATGCGTTTTTTTTTTCTTTTTCTGTTGGAATAGTTTATCTCTGCTGAACAAAATGCAGACCTGTCTTTCTGTGGTTGGCTTTGTAGCCCACAGATAATTAGAGGGCAGTGCTAAATTGAAACATGGTCTGTACTTAGAGGTTTAAGAGGTGGGTGGGTGGCAGTGGGCTGGAGGAAATAGGGCTAGCACTGTGGCCCTGTCCAAATAGTGCCTGGATTACTAACTTCAATGAACTCTGGGAAAGAGAGAGAAAAAAGTGAAGCAAGATGCTTATGGTTGACGTGGCCAACTGGTGGCAGGGCTCTCTGGTGTGTCAAAGAATGACAGATGGAAAGCTAAGTGTGGCTCTGAAAGGTCAACATTACTAGCTAGAAGACTCACAGGAGTCTGGTTTTCAGACAAAAAAGAAATACAAGACTATGAGTAAAGGAGGGGAAATAACAGAAAGAGAGAAAGATGAGCAAAGGAGAAAGAAAAGAAAAAGGAACAGAAATGAGAAACATATGACACAAGAAGGAGAAAAAGAAAGATGAGATAGGAGGAAGGAAGGGAGAGAAGAAAAGAGGATGGGAGAGAGGGAGAAATAAAGGAAGAAAAAAAAGGAAGGAAAGGTGGAGGGAGGATTGGAAAGAGGGGAGAGAGAAAGAGACAGACAGACAGACTTAGGAAGACAGAGAGAATGAAAAAGGCAGAAATGAAGTAAGCCTAAAATCCTACAGAGAAGATTCATCATAGCAAAATAAATGAAAGACAGTTGTACTTGGTATTGTTACACCTCCCTTGCTTTCTTATCTACTGAGCTTCCTCTTACCCTAAGTCCAGTATGTCTGGGGTACTCAAACTCTCATATTAACATTCCTAATAGTTGGTTTTTTCCTCCCTAAAACCACCACCAAGTGTGCTATGCTCCAAAGTTACCCCCCATTCCTACTTGTCAGTTCTTGATCTCAGCTATATGTTGGTTAAGCGGAAAGGAATCTTGTCAAACAGCCTCTTGGATTTTTAAAAATATTCATTATCCAGGTAAATTTCTAGTTGACATCAAGTACGCAGAACCTCTGCTGCATGTCCCCTTATCAATGCTGAGAGAGCTACACTGAAACAAAATGAGAGGGACCACCATAACTTGCTCCAGGTTAGCCCATTCTGGTTCTGATCTCACATCCAAAAATATTAAAGCTTAGAGACACTGCAGATAATCTATGCCACACATACTGTGCAGATAAATTAGTTTGGGTGCAGAGAGTGAATCAGGATTATTCTATGGTCACATGATTGCTAATGTCAAAGCCAGGTCTGTATCTTATCTCCGTTTATGGAGAACTGGTTATCTTTACCTGGTCCTTAATTTACTCCCGTGACCAGGATTCCTGGGAGCAAGGATAACTCCAGGCAGAGACTCAGGGTAGCCTCATGAACTATCTAATAACCACCGCTACAGTTACAGTAGACATAAAAGGCTAAGTGTCTTCTAACAAACCTTGCTGGGGTTGGGGCCCTGAAAAACTAGGTACTACCACCATGTTCCAAACATTCTTGAAAATAAATTACTAGTCAGAGACGATGTATTCTCAGAGACTCACCAAAAAGGGTTAAGCAGGCTATTCCTGAAATCTTCCCAGAACCGAAGGTATTGAAGAGGCACTTGTAACACCCCTCATCGTCCAGAGTGGTATTCCAGAAGGTAATGGTTGAGTTCTGAAGTCCCAGCTCAGTTATGTTCATCTTATCCTTGTAGGCCGGCTGGACCACAACCCCATGTTCCTTGCTGAACGTGACCATGTTGTCTGGGCTCGCAGCCTTGATTTTCTGCCATGTCACAATCAAGACTTCCTGGGAAGTTTCCAGAAAACATCGTAAGGAAGCAGGTGTGTTCAGCAGCTGTTTTTCATCTCGGGTTACCACTTTCATCATGGAATCATAAAAAAAGAATTATATTTTAAAATTTCATACATACATAAATATACATTTTTCTGATTAAAAACAATGCCTGTTCAAAGTCACATATAGAAAAGATAGAGAAAAATGCAAAGAAGAGAACATTTACCTGTGCTCTAATGTTGCTAGAGAAATATAAGTTCAAACGTTTATTCCATCTTTAAAAGTAGCAGAGTAGTAAAACAAGAAGGCAAATTCTTAGTGACAAGAAACTGTGTGAAGAATCCCTAAGGTTGAAGATGGGAAGTGTCCGACAGGATAGAAGCTTTACCAAGTGAGGCTATGCCCAGAGAGGTGGAAACCAGGAGCAGGATAGAACAAATGGGCAATAGGCAGAGTGATCAGTTTGAATAAAGAAGATGTAACATCCCTATACATTCCACACACGCCCCCTACAAAGGGAGGTGCGGCAATAGTGGTGTCTGGCCCCAGGAAGCAGTAGTGAATATAGCTACATAAGTTAGTGAGACACCCAGGACAATGTTCCGGGAGGCTGCCAGTACAGACAGCTCTGACAGCCACACGGCAATCTACACATCCCCCCATTTGTACTGACTGCAGTGCAGGATATAAGGCATGGCAATACTTTCCCCCTCTCCAATGCTGTCTACTCTTATTGATATGATAGATTATTCCATGGGAAACTTCAATATAACAACAAACAGCCAAACATTTGAGAAAGCTAACACAACAAAAGAAAAATAATAAACTTTGCAAATTTAAGAATTCATGTCAAATGAAGCAAGATCTCATAAATCAATAATCACCTGAGCAAGAATAAATGTGATATCTTAAGTGTCAAAAGAAGCCAGCATTGTAAATAATAAAAATTAGAGATGTAGAGAATGAGAAATATAAAATCTTAACAGATTGGCTGCTTAGCAGAAGGGATACCACTGAAGGGTAATTGAGCATGTAGAAAGACCAGGTCATGGAATACTTCCAGAATATAGCACAAAGGAATAATGATATGGAAGAAATGAAGAAAAAAATCAAAGACCTGAAATTTCAGCATCAGTCTCCGAAGACTTTTAAATGAAGGGAAAAGGGAGATTGGAAGGAAAAAATAACCAGTATAAGGGACAAATATACATATATTTAAAAAAATAAAAAGTACAATCTAAAATAAGATATGTTAATCATGAACCTCTATGTATTTTAAAATAACTCAAAAATTATATAAAAAGCTAATAGAACTACAAAAAAACAAAACAAAACAAAAAAAACAATTTATAAAGCCACAATCATAATGGGAGAGTTTCTATAGTTCTCTCAGAATTTTACTTTCCTATGTTAAAAAATAAGTAAAGCAAACAAGTCAAATATAAAAATATAGAAGATTTAAAAAATAAATATTTATATATAAATATTACATATATACATATAGATATATATTCATTTACAAACTTTTACCCAAAAGAGAGTATCTAATCTCTTCAAAAACACATAAAACATTCCCCCAAATTAAACTTCAAATAGGATTAAAAATGTGATATCCTATGACCTGAATACCAGGCACGATACAATAAAATTAGAAATTAACATGCTTCTTTTAACTATTACACCAGAAATAATAGCAAGAATTATAAATTACTATAAATGGCATTGAGAATACAACATTAAAATCTGCAGAAACTGATAAAGCAGTTTTCAGAGAAAAATATTTAATCTTAACTTCATTTATTAGGAAACGAGAGAAATTGAAAAATAAACACATACACAAATCTAAGCATCCCCCACCCCTGACCAAAAAAACAAAAAAAGTAAAAGGGGTGAATTAATAAAGATAAAGTACAAATTAATGGAAAAGTACACATAATGTAGACTTAGTGAAAAAAAAAATACCACAATCTGTTGTTTGGAGACGAATAATATAGATAAAATGTTGGCCAGTGTAATTAGTAAAAAAGAAGTCAGAACAAGTAAACAATATTCTCTCAACAGCATCAGGCACAGGAAGATGGACAAAGCGACAAATATAATTTGGAACCCCTGAGTGTTGCATGAGTCCAGGCTTAGTGAGGTGTGCTCTCAGTACATGTGAAAAGTTCTGAGGACAATACCTGCTGTTGGGATTGGGGTTGTCTAAAAATCTGTTGAGATTCTGAAAATCAGAGATCGAAGAAACTGTTGCTTTTAGAATGGAGAGTAGAAAGGGATCAAAGCCAGAGTTTTGACTTCCTGAGTAATTTTTCTCTTTAACTATGAAGAACCCAGTTTGTGGAAAGTTTGCAATTCTTTAATGCTTATATAGAATTCCATTTAGATCCCCCTAGTCAGTCTGTAAATCCTGCGTTGCAGGTGATCCAAAGTCTGCCCTCCCTTCACCTAGGAAGGCTGATGAGCACTTCACACAAAAGGCAGTAAAATGTCAGGTGCAAAGTGAGGGATGGCCTCCAATGGAACAGAAGAGAAACGTCTGGCACAACTAGGAAGTGCAGCAGATAAGTAAACAGCACAAGCATATGCTTTATATAACAGACTATGTAAACTCTGTAACCTCTGTATTTCATTATTTTCTATATGTTTCTGTAAAAGAAGGGCACACCTGATTACCTACTACCAGATTACCTTCTCAAATGGTTGTATTTATTCATACTCCCCCTAGCATTCCCATATTTCCAATATTTCCATATATATTTTGGAAAGCAGAAAAAAACATTCCCACTTCTCCAATCCAATCAAACATTTACATGATTCATGCAGACAAATGAACCAGCACAGCAGAAACAACAGTGGCCAAACATCTCCAGTTCAGAAATCAGGTCCCCTGGACTCCATGCAGGGGAATGGAGTATCTTTCTTTACCTTGTGCCCTGCATAGCATCACTGCGGCCAAGAACCAAATCAGTCTGTAGGTAGACAGATGACAGAAGGACCTCTCGAACACCTGAAGACAGAGAGCAAAGTACAAAAATAGGCATTTGGACAAAGCTGAGGAAGCTTCAATCTCATTGCTATCTCAGGGAATGTTGCAGCTAGAATTTTAACCACCAGAGAATTTGGGTTTGAGGAAGCAGAACCAGAGACTATAAATGAAAGAAATAACAGTGTGCTCAGGATTTGGGAAGGGAAAAGCAGCAGTGTGACTCCTTCTTTATGGCAATCCCTAGCAATTTGAGGCCTTGCTCCTAAAGCCACCATGGTCAAGAGCAAAGTCCCAAAGGCACAGGATCTCTGGGGAAAACAAACAGCCATGAATACACAGAAAAGAGAGACTATAAATGTTAGAGAATACCTACTTCCAAAATAATCCACATCTGTTCATATTACAAATATAACTCAGGAGAACTACTTATCAGATACAAGTGACTGCCTTGCAGTTTGCTGAGGTAGATTTTCCTGCAAATTCTGAAATTTTAAATAAAGTGTACCTTTTAAAAACCCGCAATGGCTTTAATTTTTTTTGTCCTTCATTGCTTTATTTTCATGTGTCTGAGCATAAATCCTTGGCTTTTCTACAAATCATGTTTCTATTTAAGGGAATGCTATTCCAGGTATCATTTTGCTATGAAATGTGGATAGAATGTAGACAGATCAATTTTTAAAAATATTTTTATTGATTTTTAGAGAGAGAGGAAGGGAGAGAGAGAGAGAGAAAGGACAAGAGAGAGAAACATTGATTGGCTGCCTCTTGCACATCTCCTACTGGGGACTGAGCCCGAAACCCAGGCATATGCCCTGACTAGGAATCGAACCTGCAACCTTTTGATACATGGGCCAACATGGGAGCCACACCATCCAAGGCTAGACAGATTAATTTCTGTGTGCAGTAGCCCCATGGATCTGTTCACTAGGTCTACATGTATGTGTTCATTATAAGGAATACAGGCAAGAAATGTAACTTTTCCTTACATTTTTTCCTGTATTTCTAAATTTTTCTATAAGAAAAGTGCATTTTCTGTACTTTGTTTATTTTCTAATAAGACTAAATTTATTCAATAACCTAGTAAAAGTTTTGATTATAAGTACCCAACAGTATGAAAAGTACAAAACGGATTTGTAGATTTCTGATATATTAATACAAAGTGCATGACTACACACAGTACATCTACAGGCAGAGAGAGGTGGGAGGGGAAAAGAAGACTGTGGTGGAGGTCTAGTAATAAATAAATAAATACAGAAGTAGAGATGATCCATATTATAGTATATTCTACCACCAACACTGCAGCTATAATGTACCAAAAAAAGAACCATTTCAAAATAATGCGGGAGGAAGGTGAGAATGGCTGAGACTCTTGCAGCACATCTGAAAGGCGGTGGGAGAGCCGCCCCAACCCACTGCGCAGTCTGTACATGTGGTGGTTTGTAGTTTCTCCCAAAGGAATATAAAATTTTAAGTTTAGATTAAGAACTATAAAACTACAGGGTGCCCATAAAAAGTGGCTCACTCCTTACTGTTATTTATACTACACAATTTTTAAAATCCAGCTTTAAAAATAAGCACTGAGGCTCTGGCCGGTTTGTCTCAGCGGTTAGAGCGTCGGCCTGCGGTCCAGAGAGACCCGGGTTCAATTCCCGCTAAGAGTACATACCTCGGTTGCAGTTTGTCCACGGCCCTGGTTTGGTCATGCGGGTGGCAACCACTCGATGTGTCCCTTTCACATCGATGTTTCTCTCTCCCTCCCACTCTATCTGAACAACAACAACAAATAAGCACTGAGTCATTTTATTATAAGGTTAGGCAAATGATCCTTCCTCGTTATGAAAAGTGTGAACTGCTAATGTTATTCCTGAACTTTGTAGAAAACAGGCAATGAGAGTACTTTGGTTTGGGTTCAAGTAACAGGCTTTTAATTAAGATTTTTTAGAACCCTATGTTCAGGATTTATCATCTAACATCTCAATGTTTAGCAAGCTCGACTAAAAGGAGCCAAACCAAAACCAACCCATTCACCACTAACACACCTCTTTTCTTTTGTTAAAATTTTACTTTAATTTGGTGGAGAGGGAAAAAACACCAAACCCTCAAAGGTTAAAACAAGTTGAACAACCACTCTACACAGATAAAAACCTTCACAAAGGTCACCTTAAGTAATCCAGAGCTAAAACCAAATTGTATAGATTTTCAGTGAAGTCAACAGCCATGGAACACAAACAAAAGTCAATTATTTACACACTCGGAAAGCCCTCTGACATGCCATCCTTAAGGCTTACACATTTTATTTTTCAGATAATTTAACATTTTGAATAGAGTGTGTTCTCTACCATGTGGTAAAGCTTTGGTACTATTCATAGAAGATTGCGTATCCTAGACTTGACATTTCCCCAAGAGGAGTTCTGATTCTGCTTTAGAAGTTTCATATAAATTAAAATCTTCATCAAATATCACTATGAGGGAGGTGACACAGGATACACATATACAGTCCAGTTACCTCTTTGTATATTTAGAAATAATTCCTTCAAGGTATTTGCACCAGAGAGCTTATACTGTCCTGCATAATATTCAGTAGTACAGGTTTGAATCATCAGAACCTTGGCAAGACCTTAATATTTCAAAATTATTAACAATTACCTCTAGGGGCAAGTCCAGGTTACTGGGTTTATGACAAATTTACTATCATGAAGAAAAACGAGTGTAGTCAGCCATCCTTCAAAATGCCCCAACCACTGCTTCTCAATATAGAAAGACTAAAACTACATACATTTATCATACAACAAATCCCATCTCTGTCCCCTGAATTCCCCTAGTTTCATTCATTAGAAGGGGATTTAAAAGAAAAAGTCTTAAAGAGCACTTTACAGCAGCATTCAGCTTTCCTGTGAAATACTCAGCATCTTAAATATTATGTACATGTCTTTTTTTCTTTTGTAAGCTAGACACTGGCTTCAGAGTTTGTGGAACTTTCAGAGAAAGTGGAGGGAAAAGAACCCATTCAGAACTATTCTAGAAATTGTCTTTTGGCAGAATAGCAAGTATCCAAGTTAAACATAGGAGGGTCATTTTGTTGCTGTGCTTTTTTGATTTGTTTGTTTTTGTTTTGTGTTGTTGGTTTTTTTTTCTAAAATTTAAATCATTTTTTGTTCCCCTTCTTCATAAACCTCTGTCACCACTCCTGAGTGGAGACCGGCAGCGGCTCTGGCCCCTGCTCCTCCGGCTTCTCCGCAGCTGCTTTCTTATGGCTGCAGCAAGGCTTGAATAGATGCGTCAATGAGGACTTCCCCCAAATGGCCTTCATAGATAATCCCACAACATAATTTCTGTCTTTTCCAGTATGTGAGATCTAAAAAGGAAAAAACTGGCATTCTCTTAGAGCCTGAAGCCATCTCTGTATCTGAGCCATCATCTGACTGGTTACTATAACAAGGAGATTGAGCTGGGGAGGCACTGGAGGTGGTACTGTGAGCATCAGAATTGTGACGCTTAAATTCCTTCTGCAGTGTGCTGATCTGGTTGCTTTTCATCCTGTTTCCAGACAGAGTTTTCACTTTCTTTGGTTTCAGTGTAGTCTTTAGACCGGGTCCTGCCCACACAACCACCACATGATTCCATTTTTTTTTTTTTTTTTATCCTGCTGGCAATTTCTTCCATCTTTCACAAGCAGGACACAGGCATTACAGATGTCTCCTGAACTTGTCTCATGCAACCCAAAACAGCTCTGGAAGTCCTTTTCATAGTGCTTACTGTCAGTGAATCGAGAACTGGAGGACTTAGCTCTGCAAATACAGCAGCCTTCTATACTTTGGTACATCTTTGGCTTGTGAAAACCAAACATCTTTTATTTTGGGCAAAAGTCTTCCAAAAATGTTTCACGCGCAATAACATTCCCGAGGTGCGGAGTACACGCCAAGCCAACCCCCTCTCCAATCACTCCCTCCTCCTCAACTGCCTTGTCTAGAAAGATTGTCTCCTGCAGTTCTCCATTTTCAGTATTGTTTTTAACAGAAGTTCATTTCAATTAGAGGTAGAAAATTAGTTTCAGTGTTACATTATCTTTGTCCGTTTAGCTCCTGCAAACCAACACTTAACAATTGTTCTCATTTTTGGCATTGTATCTACATTTCTGGGGACTTACATAATGCCAAGCTTTGGGACAGGGCTATTAATCCTTGGTAACAACCATTAACCCATGCTGGCATTTCCCAAGGCTGCTGTGTTCCCCTCAAGTTATCAAGGTTATTGATCTGTGCAATTAAATTTTGTGCTTACAAGGTGTTCTCTCTCGTTCTTTCACATGTTCTCCCAATTTTGTGTTCCTGGGATCTTCCTGTGCTGGGCAAAGAGAAATTCTACAAAGCTCTCTGTCTAGACTCCCATGTATCTATCCACCTCTGCTGTGCTGTTTCCTTGCCATGATGAATAGGCAATTCTCTCCCACAGTCTCCCATTCCTGCCCCCCAGAAAAGCAAGGCACAGGTATTTTCTGTTCTTAGATTTTAACATCTATCTGTAAGTTCTACTTACCATATTCCTGAATCCCCCACTCCTGGAGTATGTACATAGGGCCTCCTTTTCAGAACACAAACTGATGTCTGAACCTAGACATTGGTCCTTCTTTACTCTCCCAGAATAAAAAATACTTATTTTCTCTAGGGTTAGGAAAGTTGGTTCCTCTATCACCCTCCATTTTTTCCATGAACTCTTTCTGGAATAAATATAAATCTTTGGTCTTTAAACTCAAGTGCTTAGGCTCTTACTATTTTAAGTTTGATTTCTGAAACTAAAATATATTCTTTGACATTTTAATTCTACACTATTTATTTTAAAGCATGATGACTCTCTCTCTCATGTGGAAATCCGTTTTACCAAAGGTTGTGATAAGACATGCAGAATGAATTGGCTCTCATAGTGAAAACCTGTGTTTTAGGACCAGAGAGAAAGCAGACATACACCAAAACACAAGATGTGTGAAGTGGGAACTAGCAATGTTTAAGAGACAAAGACACAAT